TGCTGATACAAAAAAATAGAAAAAAACTCACAAAAAACACCAAATATAGTGTCAAACCGAAAGCAATAAAAAAAAGGAAAAAATATTGTAATAAAGTCGCTATGTGTAACTATATACCCACCAAAATTTCGAAAAAAAGCTTTTCAAATAGCAAAATTATTCAATCTTTCCGGGACTTTATACTAACCCTGTATAATCACTAAAACAAATTTTGGTTGGGGCAGATATGTTAACTGTGACACGAAAAATGTAACACTGATTATTACTTTACTATGATTCTAAAATATTAGAAAAAATCCTCAAAGGAGGATACAAATTAGTTAAATTTTGCAAATGACACACCCTCTAAGAAAAGAGTGGGTGGGTGGGCGGGGCTAGTAGCTGCTGAGATAAGACTGTTTTTGAGAAATGACATACCCTCTAAAAAAAAAAACACGGTGGGTGGGCGGGGCTAGTACTTGTTAAGATGAGACTGATCTTGGCAAATGAGATTCCTCTAAGAAAATAGAGGACGGGTTGCTTTCTAAAATAAGATCGATTTTGGCAGATGACATACTCGTTAAGAAAAAAGAGGGCGGGTGGGCGGGGCTAGTGCGTGGTATGATAAGACTGATTTTGGCCAATCACATACCCTCTAAGAAAAGAGAGGGTAGACGAGGCGGGTACCTGCTAAAATAAGATTGGTTTTGGCAAATGATATACCCTCTAAGAAAAGAGAGGGTGGGTGGGCGGGGCTAGTACTTGTTAAGATAAAACTGATCTTGGCAAATGAAATTCCTCTAAGGAAATATAGAGTGGGTTACTATCTGGTAAAATAAAACCGATTTCGGTCAATGGCATACCCTCTAAAAAAACAGGGTGGGTGGGCGGGGCTAGTACTTGTTAAGATGAGACTGATCTTGGCAAATGAGATTCCGCTAAGAAAATAGAGGACGGGTTGCTTTCTAAAATAAGATCGATTTTGGCAGATGACACTCGTTAAGAAAAAAGAGGGCGGGTGGGCGGGGCTAGTGCGTGGTATGATAAGACTGATTTTGGCCAATCACATACCCTCTAAGAAAAAAGAGGGTAGACGAGGCGGGTACCTGCTAAAATAAGATTGGTTTTCGCAAATGATATACCCACTAAGAAAAGAGAGGGTGGGTGGGCGGGGCTAGTACTTGTTAAGATGAGACTGATCTTGGCAAATGAGATTCCTCTGAGAAAATAGAGAGTGAGTTACTACCTGCTAAAATACGATCGATTTTGACAAATGACATAATCGCTAAGAAAATAGAGGGCGGGTAGGCGGTGCTAATACCTGCTAAAATAAGACCGATTTTGGCAAATAACATACCTTTTAAGAAAAGAGAGAGTGGGTGGGCGGGGCTAGTACTTGCTAAGATAAGAGTGATTTTGTCAGATGAGATACCCTCTAAGAAACGAGAGGGTGGGTGGGCGGGGCTAGTACTTGTTAAGATAAAACTGATCTTGGCAAATGAAATTCCTCTAAGGAAATATAGAGCGGCTTACTATCTGGTAAAATAAAACCGATTTTGGCCAATGACATACCCTCTAAAAAAACAGCGTGGGCGGGCGAGGCTAGTACTTATTAAGATAAGACTGATCTTGGTAAATGAGATTCCTCTAAGAAAATAGAGAACGGGTTGCTTTGCTACAATAAGATCGATTTTGGCAAATGACATACTCGTTAAGAAAAAAGAGGAAGGGTGGGTGGGGCTAGTACTTACCAAGGTAAGACCGATTTTGGCAAATGACATACCTTCTAAGAAAAGAGAGAGTGGGTGGGCGGGGCTAGTACTTGCTAGAAAAGAGTAATTTTGTCAGATGAGATACCCTCTAAGAAAAGAAAGGGCGGGTGGGAGGGGCTAGTACCTGTTAAAATAAGACTGATTTTAGCAAATGAGATATCCTCTAAGAAAAGAGAGGGCTGGTGGGCGGGGCTAGTACCTACTAAAATAAGACCGATTTTGGTAAGTGTGTTGATTGTTTGGGACAAAAAATTTTGAAATATTCGGTTTGAAATTGGCATTTTTAAATAATCCAAAAATTACTGTGTTTTATTTTGGCGATTTTGATGAAATGAAAAATAGCATCTAAATATTTTAGTAATTTTTTAGGCGTTCGGGAAAAGCTCATTTAAAAATAGAGCTTTCTGTAAAGTTGGATATTGGAAATTCAAAAAATTGACGTATTTTATTTTACACCTATTACTTTTATTTCTGTTCAGTATAAAATGCACCTTCCTATCAGAACAGGAGGGTGGGTGGGCGGGGTCAATTATACATTTTTCTGTAGACTGAGGGTGGGAACTAATAGGAACAGGCTGTTAAAAAAGTAAAAAGCAGCAATTTAACTTTTTTTGTACTATTTGCTATAAAATTTACTTGTTTCAGAACAAAAAAAATGAGAGAACGGCTGTAAGAGTTTTCTGTAAGCAAGCAGTAGCCCCGTCTTCATTCTAGTGACTAAACTCCTAATATTGTTCCGTCTTATCTTAGCAAGTACTAACCCCGCCCACCCGCCCTCTTCGTATTCTAACGACTAATTTTATTTCTGTTCAGTATAAGATCCATCTTCCTGTCAGAGTAGATAAAATTAATCAGTAAGATGGAAGTGGGGAGAGTGAGCAGGGTTAATTACATATTTTTCTGTAGAGTGGGAGAAGGGTGGGTGGGCGGGATAAATTATAATTTTTTCTGTAGACTAATAGTGGAAAATAATAGAACCAGGCTGTAAAAAAGTAAAAAAGCGACAATCGTAACTTTTTTTTATACTATTTTCTATAAAATTTACTTATTTCCGAACAAAAAAAAAATGAGAGAACGGGTGGGTGGGGCTAAGTTTAACTTTATTTTTCAGTTTTCTATAAGAAAGCAGTAGCCCCGCCCACCCACCCCGTCTTCATTCTAGTGACTAAATTCTTAATATTGTTCCGTCTTATCTTAGCAAGTACTAACTATTCTGACTGTCGTCTGTGTCTATTAGACAGATAATCTCCAAAACTACTGGACCGATTGCTGCCAAATTTAACATGTATTGTAATACCGTGTAGATGGTAAAACGCTAACTAAAATTCTTATAATCCCCCCTACCCACAATGTGATGACGTCGCCCTGGAATCTTGCAGCGCAAATTTTATTTGAATTTCATAAAATTGTGCACGTTTCAACACGTGCTTTGTGAACTTGACCTTATTTTTTACCCCAAAATTTTTTTAAGTTGTATATTAACAGCAGACCAAGTCTTTATACATTCTGAACTCTGTACTTTTAGTTCAATAAACTTCCCGGGCTTAAGCTGGAGAAGTACTATAACAGGGTTCGTGCGGCGAACTGCACATTCTCATGTTTTCTAGACGTTTCATGATCCCTACAACATAAAAAAGGGTCTCCCGATTCCGTCTGTCTGTCATCCGTGTCAATACTTATTAGATAGATATCTTCAGAACTACTGGACCGATTGTCAAATTGTATATGTATTTTAGGAATACCGTATAGGTTGTAAATCGTTGAGCAAAATTTGTGTAGCAATGTGTACGAAGTTTATAAACGTTCTTACTGCATTTTGAATATTTTGAACGCCGTACTTTACAAATTTTGCAAGTCACATTTTCTAAACTTTCGACCAATTTTTCCCCTCGTGCGGTAACGCCGTTTCAAAGCGCACTCCCAACCTCTGTACCACGGTGGTTCTTCAGCTTTGAAAGCATCACGCCACAACAACATTCGGCAAAAGCGGTCGCAGACCCGTTGGTGTCCACATTCATGACGCTGCCGGATATGAACTCTGCTTCTGACGAATTCCCCGTGATGTCTTCAATCCAGCGATCTCTTATCTCATTCTGTTACTCTGATTTTAACGACCAATTACGTTAGTTTCTCCAACTATAATGCTTTTACGATCTCTTTATATTTTGACGTTCTCCTGAAACGTTCATTTGCATATTGATAGCTCGTCCCGATAACCCGCGAGGGAAAATATCGCGATAAAACGCACAACTGCTCGAGCGGTGTCGGTTTATCTTATCTAAATAGCCAATTTGTGCACAACTTCCATCTCTCAACGCGTTCAATCATAATATCCTAATTTCGGTCCATCAGCATAAACAACGCTCGGACGAGCTGGCTGTCAATTATGGGTCGTAACGACGGAGAGACAACCTAAAACGTTTTTTTTTTTCGTTTTTACAGTTTGCTAATATGTTCTGTTAGTTAATTCCAGTAGGAGTCGGAATTTTCGTCGTGCGCCTGAGAACACATCTCGCCAATTCGTTACACAACGTACTCACAATTCGATATTTGATTTTTCTAGCGGCACTTTCACGATCGACCCACAAAGCCTCTCGAATTCAGCGCCAATTATCCGTCGACCTTTGATGATGAAGCACTTGCATGTCAGCGCGCCATCATCTAATGCACTCCTGTATTTTTGACTCCCATTGAAATTCCTCTCTTCCTCTTGACAGGCGAAAAAAGCGTTTAGCCAGCGCTTTGTTGGCGATTTTTCCCATCGCCGAGTCGGTAATGTTCGGGAAATAATGGACGGCGCAACAAAGAAGCCGTTGGAGAAGGCACGTCGTTGAAGTATTTGCTTAATAAAAGAATAAGATGTTGCAGGCTGGAGTAATCGAGTAATCCGAGCAACGTAACATTCCAGCGCGCCGATTTAAATTATTTGGTTGACAGTATCTACTAGTGCATCACCGAGGAAATTCTAACATGTCCGAAACGTCGCCGCATATATCATTTTGTCAATCTAATCTCATCTGGGAACGAGTTAGTGCGCGTCTTCGGGTTGGCGAGTTATCAAAAATTGGGAAAACTACGCGTGGCTGAGGCAACGACCGTTTTACTGGTGGCTATTAAATTAATTAAAAAGTTACCGTGGAAAATCGGTTAATTTTTCGCCGAAGCGTCGTGGGTGTGCTTGGGAAGAGCGGATTTGTGAAATTGCGGCTAATGGAATTGGATATGAGGATCAAGAGATTAAATACCGGAGGAATATTTGGAGAAGCGATTTCGATTAAATTTGTTGATAAAGGCAGGTAATTTACAGAGCCTATTATTATGTATGTTTATTTCGTATGACAAAGAATGTTTAATAGCGTTTATAAATAATGCTTTTATCTGGCTCGATACTTAGAGGATTAAATACAAGGGTCAAACGCCGTCCTGAATTTAAAATGACTGGGATGTTGTGATGGTTACAGTTCAAAAAAATATAATGCAAAAAATCATACTGCAATTTTTTCATATTTTAGATTTTCTTTGCTACTCAGTAGAAAATTGTAGTTTTACTTGGTTGAAAAAAAAAATGTCGAGAATATACTGGTCACTGCTTTCGCCCAGATAACTAACAATATTAATTCATGTTGCTGCGGACTATGTTGACTTATGTAGAACACAAGAAGATGGTTTTTAACCTTTCTAGCTTTATAAATCTTAATTTTAGTTATCTAGTTTTTTTTTTCTGGATTAAATTTAAATCCACTAAGATGCAACTACAAAATTTATTTTATTAAATTTCTTCTTGATTACTATTCTAAAAATTTAAATTAAAATAAAAAATTTAAACTAGTAATTTAAATTAAGCAAAAATATTCAACTACTTTTTTTTCAGACGAATTTAGAACTTTTCACGGTTACGCCTATCAGATTGAACCAAACTGAATTAATCCGTAAAATCCTCGAATAAGAAGCTTAAATACTTCTTAGAAGAAACAGATCCTTTCACATTCGTTTATGGGAAAAATAACAACAATTCGTTCGGTACTTTCAGAGATTATCTATCAAATAAAAATCGACATAGCCGGCAGACAGACAAACAGACAGAATGACGTAAAAATCTATCAAAAATTCTGGGATGTAGATTTCGACCAGCGGATACAAAAACAGGATTTTGGTAGTTCCGGGCAAAGTTAACGAAATATTCGTTATGAAAGTCCAATTTTTTTAATTCCCAAAAATTCCGACATTTTTCATTGGCGATTCTGGCACAAGTGTAGGAATTTTCGAAGAAATAGAGTCGAAAATGACATGTAGAACGAAATCTATAAAAGAAGTCACCGTTTCACTAATTTTGGAATATGCTCTAAAAAGACAAACAATTTTCGTCTGGATTTTTCGCATTGAAAAATAGAGCTTTTGTAAAAATTGTCTAAAAATCCCGAAAAAATCCGTCATATAGATCTCGACTAGCTGATTCAAAAAACAGCATTTTAATTGATACGGATCAAGGACTGCAAAATACTCTCCATGAAAGCCCAGTTTATTAAATCCTAAAACTTCTGATATTTTGCGAATTTGACAAAATAGTAGAAAATTACGAAAAAATGATGGCGAAGATAATTTCTGAAAATGGAAATTTTGAGATAATTGTCGAAAGTGGCCAAAAAATAATAAATAATCTCCCACTCGAATCAGATTTGAATGTTGAAAATTTTAGGGTTTGGAAAAGTTGCCTAAAATCCCTAAAAAATCCTGGGATATAGATTTTTTATGGTTCCGAACGAAAATTTGAGAAATATTCGCTGTGAAAATCCAATTTTTTCAAAAATTCCAAAACTGCGATATTTTTTATTGGCGATTTTGGAAAAAAGCTAAGAAATTTCGAAAAAATGAAGCGGAAAATATTTTCTGAAAATGAAAAACATTGCGTTTGATGGTCTAGGACTAAGTTTTGCGAAACTTTGCTTATAAAAATCAGTTTTCTAAATCTTAAAATTTGCGATATTCCATCCTAGCATTTTCGAAAAAATTAACCCGAAAATTACTTCTGCAGATTAAAATCTATAAAAAAAGCTCTTTAAATAATTATCAAAGGTGTTCGAAAAAGGGTCAAAAATTTCATGCTTGAAATGTGATTGAATGATTGAAAATTTATTGAGTTTTTGGAAAAGTTCACTAAAATTTATAAAGAATTCTGAAACGTAGATTTCGATGAACTGATTGAAAAAACATCGTTTTGGTAGTTTCGGACAAAGATTTACGAAATATTCATTATGAAAATGAAATTTTTTAAAATTCCAAAAATTGCGATATTTTTCATTGACCATTTTGACACAGGGATAGGAATTTTCGAAGAAATGAAGTTGCAAATGACTCTGGAAATCGAAATCTATAAAGAACATTCGGTTTTTTCGAAGGTGTTCTAAAAAGGGTCAAAAATTTCAAAGAAAGAATCGAGCTTTCGTAAAAATGGTCTCAAAATCTCCAAAAAATTCATATAAATCTCAACAAGTTAATTCAAAAAACGCAGCGTTTTGATTCTTCCGGACCAAGAACTGCAAAACACTCTCCATGAAAATCCAGTTTCCTAATTCCTAAAAATTCCGATATTTTGGGATTTTGACAAAATAGTGGAAATTTTCGAAAAAACGAAGACGAAGATAATTTCTGAAAATGGAAATCTTAAAAAAAATCTTTAGATAATTATCGAAGGTGGTCAAAACACGGTAAAGAATTTCCCACACGAAACAGATTTGAATGTTGAAAATTTTAGCATTCGGAAAAGTTGCCTAAAATCCCTAAAAAAATTCTGGGACAGATTTTGACGAACCGATTCGAAAAACATAGCGTTTTGATGGTTCCAAACCAAAATTTGAGAAATATTCGCTGTGAAAATCCAATTTTTCCAAAAATTCCAAAATTGCGATATTTTTTATTGGCGATTCTGGCAAAATTTCGAAAAAATGAAGCGGAAAATATTCTCTGGAGATGAAAGTTTCCCTATGAAGATCCAATTTTTTTTTTATTTTAGAATTTGCTATATTTGCATTTTCGGAAAAATTAAGCCCAAAATTACTTCTGGGATCAAAATCTATTAAGAAAAACTTTTTAAATAATTTTCAAAGGTGTTCGAAAAAGGGTCAAAAATTTCGTAGGTACTTGATATTTACGAAAATTCACTTTTTTAAAATCCCAAAAATTGCAAAATTTTTCATTAGGGATTCTGACACAAAGATTGGATTTTTCGAAGAAATGAAGTTAGAAATGACTCTGGAAGTCCAAATCTATAAAGAATAAACTAATTCGGTTTTTTTGAAAGTGTTCTAAAAGGGGTCAAAAATTTCAAAGAAAGAATCGAGATTTTGTAAAAATTGTCTGAAAATCTTCAAAAATTTCATATAGACCTCGACAAGCTAATTCAAAAAACATAACAAACTAATTCTTCCGGACCAAGAATTGTAAAACACTCTCCATGAAAACTCAGTTTCTTAAATCCAAAAATTTCGAAATTTAGCGATTTTGACAAAATAGTGGAAATTTTCGAAAAAACGAAGACGAAGATAATTTCTGAAAATGGAAATCTTAAAAAAAAATCTTTAGATAATTATCGAAGATGGTCAAAAAATGGTGAAGAATTTCCTACACGAATCAGATGTGGATGTTGAAAATTTTAGCATTCGGAAAAGTTGCCTAAAATCCCTAAAAAAACATAGCGTTTTGATGGTTCCAAACCAAAATTTGAGAAATATTCGCTGTGAAAATCCAATTTTTCCAAAAATCCCAAAATTGCGATATTTTTTATTGGCGATTCTGGCAAAATGTTAAGGAATTTCGAAAAAATGAAGCGGAAAATATTTTCTGAAGATGAAATTTTCCTCATGAAGATCAATTTCTTTTTAATCTTAAAATTTGCGATATCTGATCAAGGCATTTTCGAAAAAATTAACCCCAAAATTATTTCTGGAGATTAAAATCTCTTTAAATAATAATGTTCGAAGGTGTTCGAAAAAGCATCAAAAATTTCAGATTTGAAATTAATGTGATTGAAAATTTATTGAGTTTTTGGAAAAGTTCACTAAAATCTGTAAAGAATTCTGGAATGTAGATTTCGATGAACTGATTCAAAAAAACATCGTTTTGGTGATTTCGAACAAAGATTTACGAAATATTCTTAAGAAAATAGAATTTTCTAAAATCCCAAAAATTGCGATATTTTTCATTGGCGATTTTGACAAGAATAGGAAGTTGAAAATGACTCTGGAAATCGAAATTTATAAAGAATAAACCATTTCGGTATTTTCGAAGGTGTTCCAAAAAGTGTCAAAAATTTATAGATTTCCATTTTCAGATATTATAAATAAAAAATTGTCTGAAAAATCTCGAAAAATTCTGTCATATAAATCTCGAAAAGCGGATTCGCAAAATATATCGTTATCGTTCTTTCGGACCAAGATTTACAAAATACTCTCCATGAAAACCAATTTTTTAAATACTAAAAGTTACGATTTATCTCATTGCCGATTTTGAGAAAATGGTGCGAATTTTCGAAAATATGAAGCTGAAGATAATATCTAACAACGGAAATCTTTAAAAAAAATCTTTAGGAAACTATCGAAAGTGCTCAAAAATGGAGAAAGAATTTCCTACTTGCATGAAATTTGAACATTTTTTTTTTTGGTGATTCTGTCAAAATGCTAAGAAATTTCGAAAAAATAAATCGGAAAATATTTTCTGAAGATGAAAAACATTGCGTTTGATGGTCTCGGACCAAAATTTGCGAAATTTTCGTTATGAAAATCTTTTTTTTTATCTTAAAATTTGCGACTTTCGATCATGGCATTTTCGAAAAAATTAACCCCAAAATTCTTTAGATTAATTTTTGAAGGTGTTCGAAAAACGCTCAAAAATTTCATACTTGAAATACTTATATAATGGAAATTTTATTAAGTTTTTGAAAAGTTCACTAAAATCTATAAAGAATTCTAGGACGTAGATTTCGATGAGCTGATTGAAAAAACGTCGTTTTGGTAGTTTCGGACAAAGATTTACGAAATATTCGTTATGAAAATGAAATTTTTTAAAATCCCAAAAATTGGCGATTTTGACACAAGGATAGGACTTTTCGAAGAAATGAAGTTGAAAATGGCTCTATAAATCGAAATCTATAAAGAATAACCCACCTCGGTTTTCCGAAGATTCTCTAAAAAGACGCAAAAATGTCTGTGGATGTTCCACATTGAAAAATCGAGCTTTTGTAAAAATTATCTAAAAATCTCCAAAAATTCATACAGATCTCGACAAGCCAATTCAAAAAATA